CAGTCGAGGTGCCAAGGAAAGCTCATTAGTACAACTGACATGAAAATATTTATAGAAAAGACAGAGAATCCACATCATGTTGGTGGAAAAATGACTGAATTTGAGAAGCCAGAACAGGACAATAAAATTAAAAACCCTTCTTTGAATTTTATCAAGAATTAAGATATAAAGCAGGAGCATCAGGCCAGATTTTTTTTAAGCATTTCACCTCACACAAGGTGGTAGTGCCACTAGTATGTTGGGAAGGATGTTTACAGAAAGAGAGAGCAAAAGAAAAAAAGCATGTTTGAGGAAAGGATAAAGAGAAGGATGGGGAATTAGGTCAAGGCATCAAAAGATGTCAATTGACAATACATTTGAAAAGTTGAAGACTATAGCCATCAGGGAAACAAGTAACAGGAAGGGAGTTCCAGAGATGGGAAGTGCGAGATAAGGTGTAGAAGAGATGGCTACATTTAATCGTTTTGACAGTGAAAGAGTAGGCCTGAGATACCAACCTAGTAGCATGCTTAAATTCATGCAGTTTGGGAACCAGTAAAAGTAGCTCATTGGAGCAGTTGCCATGAAAATGCTTGTAGAAAAGAAAGAGGGAAACAACAGCATGTCTGTGAGAAAATGACTGTAGACAAGATGTCAAATCAGGACCCATCACATTGCATATCTGACTCTGGATTCTGTTGAGGACCTAGAGATGAACAGCAGGGTCTCCATACCATATATGGCAGCAATATTCCATGCAAGGACAAATGGTTGATTTATAGATTGGAAGGATGGATTCAGGTGAGAAAAACTTTCTGGCATGATACGAAGAACCAAATGTCCTTGCAGTAGATATGGCAGTAATATTCAATGCATGAATAAAGGGTATATTTATAAATGTATAAAATAGATTCTAATGAGTAAAAGTGTCTAGCACAACATAGTGAACCAACTTTCCTAGCAGAAGACCTCGTAATTGATTTAATATAATCACTCCACTTCATGTCAGTAGAAAATGTGACAATTTTTTTTTAGATTGGTGCCTAACTTCTCAAAAACTTATATATGAATATTAGATTGGTGCCTAACTTCTCAAAAACTTATATATGAATATTTTCTATGTCATCTTAGAGAAATCAGTTCGCTCATTTCAAAAATAGAAAAAGATGCAAAAATGGTATTACTACTTACACCCTTTTAGAATCACACCAACAATTTATTAATAAATATTTAGATTTTAAGAATCATTGCCACTTCTATAAGTTCTGTTCCTTGTGCAACATATTACAAATGTATAACAATCACTGACAATTTAGTCAATTCATTTTATCAACATAATTAAATTTTATGCTTTCAAATACACTGATTCTAATTTTAAGAGGCTCACAGGCTCAATATTATTAAATATAAGGTTCTTTAAATCTTTCAGTTCATAATTTGTGTACTTGCAAAATCTGTAATATATTAAGGTATAAATGTTTATAAATTTTTACATAAATAATAACCATATATCAGAATTTGTACAAAATTATTAAAAATAACCTATCAAATGCATTAGATGCCAACTAAAAGACTTATTTTTAAGTAAAAAAAAAAAGTCTCATTGTAAACAAAGCTAACTGGATTACTAATTTAATGTTAAAATTAGTTATTCTATAAATTACTAACTGAAATAGTACTGTATTAAATGTAAGCTTTAAGAAATGAGATTAGATACTATATTTACTCATGTATAAGCAGATCTGAATACAAACCAAGCCCTTCTCTGTTTATTTCTGAGAAATGGGCAAAAATCCAATCTCCAATAAGTCATGGCAGCAAATTGACACATTCAAATGATATAGTTTTGTATATTTCAATGAGTGGAGAAAACATTTATGAAGTTTTAATATCTTGATATCTAAAATGTTTTTAATCATCACTTAGACTATAATTTGGGTGTTTGTGCACCTGGAAAAGGGGATATTAAATTCCTGGACAAGTAACTTATTTTTTCTAAGATAAGGCTCAATGGTAGTTGTGGGGGCAAAAATCAAGCTGCATATAAATATCAATCAAATAACATGAGATATTACAAGAAAAATGTTGGCGAATACAAAACAATACAAATTACAAGAAGGTACAACAAAAGGGTTTCAGTGAGGTCAAACCCAGTTAAATGCATATATTTACCTTGAAGGTGTAATATGTGAATGTTCTTAGGAACATTCACATATTACATATATATTCATATATTAGTTCTTGTGATTTGATGTGAGTTGTCAAAGTTCATGACAGAATCCATTCATGCTTCCTGAGTTTAACATCGTTTTTAGAACAGTACTTATTCTCTGTCATAGAAATGACTATTTTGTTACAATTGTTGATATGAAAATAAGACTTAATTCTGTCATGAAAATGATAATTTGGTTGTTAAGATTTTGTTGAGGAGTGGGTTTCTTTGAGGCTACAGTCGGTCAGGTTTTCAGATGTATTGGAAGGCATCATGTCACCCACTCCATCTTCCTGCTCTGCCACATCTACTACTTGATGGCATCATTTATTGCAGGATCTTTTTAAAGCCAAAGATCGGCTCTGATTTATCGGACAAAGTTTGAAGGTCAACACAAATATTTCAGATTTCAACTGGCTCAAGTAGCCATTGGTTAAATATCCCATTTGTCAAAACAATTTATTGTAGTAGAAAAAACACTGTTTTTCTTTCCCTTTTTTAGATTGGTTACAATTCCCTCAATATTGTATATTAAAATGATTAAAAGACTATAAAAGGAAGGGACATAAAACCTTTCTCTCTTTTTTAGCTCCAGAATGTAGTAACACAAGACTTTTTTCTCAGTCATACTTAATTTCATTGATGGATTTGTTTTTATCAATCCTTTGCAGGCTATTTAAAGCCAGAGAATATTTTGAGATTGTAAGACTTGTTTTTAATATAATAATGGTTTATTGATACAAGTCTTATTAATTAACTCATAACTGGAGGGAGAAGAGGTGGAGTCATACGTTCCCCACAAGTATTTGTGTTCAAGTGAATATAACAAACCCAACGGGAATTAGTACTCGGCTCTCCAGTTAACAATTCCAAGCCATTATCCATTACACCACCCACACATCCAAGTTTACAGCACCCAGTCACCAATCTAGTAACTGACTATGCTCAATATTGCTTAACTTTGATGATCATATGGGAACCAGTGTTTTAACATGATGTGGCTGTAAGCTTACTTAATTTCAACCCAATCATGTGGCACACACAACAGCTCAGCACATAAATAATATTTCTTCCATGTTTTTAAAGCTATCTGTATACAAATGAATATAATTTTCTCTTCTTTTGTGAGCCTTGTTGTTCTTTATATAAATATACAGTGTAACCCGGATATAAGAGAGATTTTCTCTGGTCCCAAATTAGAGCCTGTGTTAATGTATATAAAATAGACCAAACCCGGATATAAGAGAAACCCTGATATAAGAGACTTCTTCTCTGGTCCTGACAACTCTCTTATATCCGGGTTACACTGTACAAGAAAAACCCTGTACATGTTGAATTTATTTCTTTTGAAAATGTCAAATTAATTCATTTTGATATCTTCATCAGCAACAAGTCACAACTCTTCCCACTACAAAATGGTGACCAAAAGCAACCTTTGTTACAACACTTTCTTTTACTTCACTGCATTCTGTAGTCTTTTTTTTTTTTTTTGTTGTTGTTGTTTGAAAGATTTGCATATGCCATAAAATGATTTTTCTTTTACAAATTTTTCCTAATACAAGGTCCGCAAGCCACTCAAGGTAAAGGGGTTACTGGATGAGGTGTGTGATATGAACATAAGAGGAAGTAAGAAGTGAAGATTATGTGGATATAGCAGATAACTATTAGCCCTAAAATAGAAGAGGTTAAGATTGTAGTGTTCTGGAAAGCATCAACACAGGAAACTGTTCCACAAAGTAGCAGTTCTTAAATTTTCAGAGTGGAATGCCCTTCTTATTAAAGGAATACATAGAGAATGAGGGTGATTCAACCAGATGTACCTCGGCAGGTATTTGATGTAAAGATCTGAACTGTTGACACTATAGAAAGGAGCCTATCAGAACATTTTTTATAGAAGCAGTGATAGAGTAGTGAAAGGCTGGCAAAGTTGTATCTGTAGGAGGGAAAATAAGTCAAGCTCTCACAATCAGCTAAATTTTCAGAATTAAAACTGTTTGATAGATTTAAATATTTTGATACTCACTTCTCACTTGTACAGCTTGTTTTATTTGTTAGATTTTCAAAATATACTCTTTCAAAATATCAACATTACTTGCTTCCCAATCTGTGATCATTTAATTTTTAATGCAGTGCCTTTATGTTCTGATAAAAAGTTTATCTCTCTTAGTCTTATTGGTCAGAAAAAGATTCAGATTTTCGTCAGCCTGTGAACCTCTTTTTGCACACAAAAAATGATTTTTACTTGAATTGTCTTTTACTAACTTTTAACTTCACAAGTTTGAATTTAAAATCTAGTTAATTAAATTCCAGTATAACTAATTAAATAACCAATGTCAAACAATTATAAGCCATCCTATTGCGGCTAAGAAAGTAAAACGAAATACAAAACAAAAAGGTAAAATAAAAAAATAAAAACGATAAACTAAAAATAAAAAAAAATCAAGCACGCATGCGCGAGTTAATTTGTTAACATGTAAATGTAAATAGATACAACGCCTCTGTTCTTCCCGCCGTTGGTTACCTAGCAACGAAGCCAAAGCGTGACACTGTCAAAGCAGAGGAAAAAAAAAAGAAAAAAAAAAAAAAAAGAAATGATCCTTGGTGCGCGTCTCATGGAAGCATTATTTCCAGTCGATCGAATTAATCGCTTGGGCCACCCAGAATGGACTCCCAACAACACTTGACATTACCTCAAAAACGTTTATTAGTCCAACAACCTTCTCACCTTCATAAAATAAAAAGTAGAAGCGCTGGGAAAGGAAATGATGCGATTTGGGGATCAAAAGAAAGGACTTTGTCTTCTTGGGATATGAGTAGGAATGTACCTGACAGTGTCACTTGCCCCGGCTGGAACACCAAAGTAACTTACAATCCTATGGTGCTGGTCGGAAACTGGGCGGAAGAAAGAGTAAGTTTTTGTTTTACCTTTACATTTTTTTTTAAAATGTCACCGTTTCTTTTCAAAAAGTTTTACGACTTTCAAAATACAAGACTGCTCACTTAAAAAAAAAAATGTGACTATGTTTTTCCTTTGTACAAGTAAGCTTTAACTTTTTGATAAGAAAAAGTTTGTTACTCAAGAGACAAATGATTTTTTTTTTTTCAGTTGCAATTTCGGACTTTCAATTTATATTATAATTCTCCAGAAAATAAAGTTTTACTCCGAGAAAAAAAAATGAAAATATGTTTAAGTTACAAACCAAAAAAAAACAAAAAAACTGTTCTATTGAATTGAAAATAAAACTTTTTCTCAGTCACTGTAAGACTTACAGTGAGTTGAGTAAATTACCAACTGTGAGAAATTACAATCTTTTCACCTGAAAAGCTTTTTTTTTATGCGACCAAACATTGCTTGTTTTTACATGAAGAAAAAAAAATACGTCATTTAAATTTTGTTTTTTCAGCTTTAAAACGTGCAAGGAAAAAAATTACAAACATTTCGTCAACTGTTTGAAGAAAAAAGAAAAGCCGGCATATTTTGTTTGTTAACTTAAGTTCGGTTGGCAACGCTCTTTGTAAAAAAAAAAAAAAAAAGTTTCTTTTAATTAAAAAAAGAAAATGAATTCCTTGAAAAAGTCTACAACTTTTTTAGTTTAATGTAAAAAAAACAAAAAACAATAAAACAAAACTTTACATATTAATTTTCTTTGGAACTTTGAAAGGTGGGGAAAAGTTTCTAAAAATTTTGTCACTTTGTGTGTGTTACTGACTGCTGTATCGAAATAAAAGAAATAGATCTTAATTCCAAAAATAAAATAAGAGATCATGAATTCAGACTTCTTATTATTAATCATATTCTTAATGAGCCCGGGAAAATGTGAAATTGAATGGGTTTTTTGTTTCGCAATAATAATGTTTTGTTTAAGAAGCCCAAAGAAATTCAAAGTTGAAGGCAAGCAAAACTTAACTAAAAAAAACTGTTCAATCGAGAGGATTTAAAATAAGAAAAGGAAAAAAGTTTAATAAATTTGTTAGACAATTATTGTGTAATGAGTTCAGACTTCAGTAGAGATACCAACAACGCTGGTAAATTAATAATAGCTAGAAAAATAAGTTAAAAAAAGCTATTGTTTCACTTTCTTTTCTTTTTTCTTTTTTTCGGAACTTAGCCCACAATGTGGATGGACTATCGTGCAGACTTAGTGAGGCTCCTTAATTTCATACAAAAATAGAAAACTTCTTGGCTAATAATACAATGGAGTCAAGTCAACGCGAAAGGACGTTTCAAAAATAAGTCACAACAAATATATAATTAATCAAACACACTTCATCAAAATGAAGTGGCCAAAATTTTTGTTAAAAACTGGTAAATAATAATAGCCACTATGGTACCATAACAACAGCCATAAATTATGGCTGTTATGAAAAATGAAAATGTACGTCTTTGCAATATAATTACTGAAAGTTTAAAAAGCAACATTTTTTTTCTTCTTTTTTTGGATTGAAATTAAGAGTTTAAATGTACGTGAAAGATTTTTTCTGTTATTTATAATAACTTTTCTTACTTGACCAATATTCAGAATTGGTTCATTCCGCAGCAGCATCGAAAGAGTTTTATTTACGGGTTTTGTTTTTGAAGTATCAACAGGTCCATCACTAGTGTTTTGAATGGCAAGGAGGTGACTTTTAAGTCAGTGGGGCCGCAAGAATTTGAATATTAAAATTAGTTTTTTTTTTTGTTTTTTTTTAACAATACATCATTTTCACAGTGGGAAGCCAAATGATTGTCATGGTGGTCAGTAGGCACCACCTTGTCAACGGCCGTGGGTATCAGGAATTCTTCAAACGGCACATTTTACGGGAAATTGTAATAAGCGGTATAGTTTTCCCTAAAGGAATTTATAAAGAATCTATTTGTTTTTAGAGAGAGCGATAATGACTGATTTAAATGCCCTTCAGAAACGTAAAAAAGGGAAAGGATTATCCACTCTTTCTTAAAGATTAAAGAATTTAGCATCAGAAAATATCAAATGACGAAATTTGACTTCTTAGACATGGATGCCATATGCTTGGTATCACTAGCTTTTTAAAAATAAAAAAGATGTTTTTTTATTTTTTTAGATATAAAAATAATTCATAGCTTATTCTTCTCTTAAATAGGGACACATATGGCTACATTTCAGGATGCATTAGTTGAGAAACACTGCTCTAAAATCTGAACAAGAGAATTACAAATTGAGTGAATTGTGTATGATTACTAACTTGAATCTGTTTAATTCACATTGAGATGAGGAATTATCTTTATTTACATGCAGACTATTGTCCTTGTTTTCATTGTTGCTATCACAACATTTTGGCCATTATACGTTCTGACCTTCATCAGATGCTTGTCAATTCAGGTAACTTTTTGCTAATTTCAAACTGAAGTCTTTATTTAATATACAGGGCAATAGCCTAGCGGATTAAAAGTGTTGTTGTGTGAAAGTGGTAATGGAGTAAGCAATAACTGAACTGTATTAAATAAGAATTAGAAGATACATGATCAACAATCAGCCCAAAAGGCTTTCAATTTGAAATTTCCTGAAGGTTACCTGGATTGACAAGCACCTGATGAACTGCTGAAATGTTATGATAACAAGAACAAAGAGGAAGACAATAGTCCACTTGTAAATGATAAAAATTACTTTTTTTTTTTTTCTTTAATAATAAAAGACAATTTCAGAAATTTCCATTGGTCTGAAAATTCCAAGGAAAATTTTGATTAAAAATGAACAATTTCAACTTTATTTTTCAGTTGAAAAAAGACTATACTTCTAAACAGAACTTTTTGAAAGAAAATGTCCCCAAAAACCTTTCAGATTATAGAGATGCTCGGTCCGAAGCTCAGCAAATGAGGATTAAAAATGAGACTGGTGTAAGCAGAGCTTACTTGTTCAATCAACATGATACACTCTATGATGAAAATCAAATTACAATGTATGATGAGAATTACAATCAGCGTTGGCGGGAAAAGAAGTTACCAGAAATGCGGCATTGGAATTTCAATCACTTGGCATGGCTACCAGAGAAGACGGACCACCCACTTTTTGGTTTGTAGCATTCTTTTTTTTTTCTTTTAATAATTTTTTGTTCCATATTGTAAATAAGCTGTGAACCTTTTCTTTTATAATATCTTTGTAAGGCTTCAAGAAGTAAAAGAAATAAACAGATTGACTTTAATAACGAGTAGTATTCTGCGTCCTGTACCATAAAACCTTTGCTTATGGTATACCCCAGTAGGTTTATTTTGTCCAGTCCAAACGAGCATTTGTCGTCATTTAGGGTAAGGTTGTATTTGTTGACGGCGGACATGAACCATCTGAGATTTTCGTCGTGTTCCTTTCTATTATGGCCACATACTGTGACATTGTCGATGTACACAAATGTGCCTTCCAGTTTCTCATCCGTTATGATTTGGTTGACTATCCTTTGGAAGCTGGCTACCCCATTCGTAACACCAAAAGGAATCCTGTGAAATTGATATAGTCAACCGTTCGCCTCGAAAGCTGTGTATAGCTTGTCTCTAGGTCTAATGGCGATCTGATGGTACGCGCTTTTGAAGTCCAGAGTGCTAAACATATGATATTTGGCTATTTCGCCTATCATTTCATCTATCCTGGGTAGTGGGAAGGCGTCCAAAAGAGTAAATCTATTTATGGTTTGGGAGTAATCTATAACCATTCTCTTTTTATGGTTTTTAGAAGTGGTTATAACTACCTGAGCCCTCCAGGGTGATTTGCTAGGCTCAATTATACCCTCCTCGAGTAGTCTTTTTATCTCAGAGTCAATGAATTTTTTATTATTATAAGAAAAACCTCTGCTTCTCACTGCTATGGGTTTGCAGTTTTCAGTTAGGTTTTCAAAAAGTGGCGGGTACTGGATTTTTGCTGTCGCAAATCCACAAATTTTCAATGTGGGCATTGAACCGCCAAATGGAATTTCAATCTGTGTGTTGCTGCAAAAAATCGTGTCCCAGTATTATTTCACAACAAAGGTTTTTCATTACGGATAATTCAGTGGTTTTATAGGAGACATCATTAAATAGTAAGTCCACCAAACAATAACCACTTACTTGCGCAGACAATGACACGTTTGCCATTGTTACTCTGCTGGGGGAGGGGACAAAATACAATTTGTTGGTTTTTACCAAGTTTTCTTTGATAAAATTTTCTGAGCTCCCGGTATCGAGCAGGGCATTTGTAGACCTCCCATTAATTTTCACTTTTACAATAGTTTTTGAAAGGCAGTCGGGGGAGGCGGCTAAAGTTGCAGATGTATTTTGACAAGTGGCTTTGTATAGAGTTTTAGAAGACTTGCATACCTTTGTAAAATGACCAAGTTTTCCACATTTATGACAACGAGTATCTCTAGCAGGGCATGAAACTTGTAGGTGTTTAGATAAGCCGCAAAAATAGCAGGTGTCCCTTTTTAAAGCGGCAGTGACCAATTGTTCTTGAAGCTTCGTCGGACTATCGTCATGAGGGGGGTAGTAGGAACAGGTGGGTTTAACGCGGCGCCTACAGTGTCTGGCTGTAAATAAGAACTAGACTGCTGTATAGCACTTTCGAAGATATAGGCTTGCTCGTAAGCTGTTCTAAGTGTAAGGGTCTTATTCTCAAGAAGACGTTGTCTTATCTGAGTATTACGTAAGCTGTTAATGAAGGCATCCAAAATGTGTTGCTCTTGGGCCTCTAATGCCGTCATTGGGCAGAAGTTGCAATCTTTGCTCAGTGTCCAAAGGCTCTTAAGGAAATGGTCCAATGTTTCGCCTGATTCTTGTCGGCGAGTAGGTGTCTAGAAAATATCTCATTTTTGGGCTTTATGTATGTAGCGTTCAGTACATTGATTGCTTCTTCGTAGGTAACGCAATCCGAGATAATTTCGTTGACTTTGTGAGACAGGTAGTTGGTTAGGAGCGCATGCTTATTGATGGGACGTCCCAGTCTTTCTGAATGTAGAACCTCGATGAAATTTGTAAATGTCTCCTGCCAATGTTTCCAGCACTTGTTGGCTGAATCGCTTTCTGGATCTGTGGTAAATCGCTCCAGTCGCATAAGTTGTTCCATTCTTAATTGAATAAATTATAATGAAAACAGGACAAGAGATTCTGTCTAGTAATCTTTTATTCAATTAAGAATCTTACTACTCGTCTACTTGACAAGTGGAAATGTACAGCTTTTATAGCTTGGATTATCAAAGAGGAGATAATCCATATTCACAACAATACCTAACCTGACTTAAGTTTATTTTAGAAGACCTTGTAAGATTAAATGTTTATAAAATCATTAAGAGGATTTGGGCTTTGTAAATAAACCCAAATGTTATAAATAAGCATGAGGGTTGGTTTTACCAGAAAAACTCAGACTAAACAAAAGTTACATCACAAAAAAATATTTCTTTGAAAAAATGTCTCTAAACTTTGGTCAGTGCAACATTATTTAATTTTATTGCTTTGTCAGAATTTCTGCCAGGTTTCTGATCTTTCACTCTTTTATTATATTTTTGCTGCTTTCTATCAAAATGCTGAAGCCATTTTTACATTCTTTGATCATTAAACTAGCAGCATGAATTGGAAATGAAGAATACATCTCCAGTCCAGTGAGATTTGAACTAACATCTATGTTTGATCAGGAGGGTGCCTTACTGATTAGACTACACAATCTAATCTTTAATCTGTACCAAATTTTTTTGTTTACACTTAGTAGTAGTTGTTCTAGGTTATCTGAATTTCTTAGATGTGCAACAAAAGAGAAACTCATCAAAAATTAATAATAACAATGCTTCATCTCAAAAATTTGGAGAGCTGAAATGGAATGTGTTACAATAAAAATAAAGTCCAGATCAATAGTGTCAATATCAATATTGTTAAATAAGTACAACCCAAATCTGCATGTACAATATCTTATTCAGTTGCAATAGGGAAATTAAAGGAAAAAGCAACCAATTGATAAAATTTAGAATCAAAGAAACTTGGAAAGCCATAATCTGAGAAAATATCATGATGTCAAGTATGACTGAATATATTTGAAAAGAAAAAAAAAGTATCAAAGTTTAAATAATAGAAATGGAACCTAATTGGAGAGTAAAGAAAGTTGCTTACATGAGCCTGAGAAAACTACATAACCCAGGTGAGCTTAAAGAACTCATAGAATAATATTGTCATTATTAAATTATAACTTATTCTGCATCATTTTTTTGTTCAGTCAAAAAGTAACTGGAATTATGTGACTTATCTTTGGTCACAACTTTAGGAAAAATTGTGGGTCATTTCAAACTTGTTACTTCTCTTTAGGTGTCCCAAAGTAAAATTTTATTTTCAATATATTTAAAAAAAAATTAATACAAACATATAGAGCTTGGCAAAACATAAAAAAATGACACCAAATTTATCTTGGTAGCTCAATTAGCAATGAAGCTATGACCATTCAAATTTCTTTCTTGTGTGCTATTGTGCCAGAAGCCTATTTTAACATTTTATAACTAAAGATGCAGACCTGTTACAGAATGTGAAGTCCAGGGCCAAAATGGTCAGTGATTGACCAGAATGCCACATGGGCAGGACATTCTAACAGTGATGGATTGTCTTTGTCTGGGTTTTGAATATAACTTAAAAATGGTGCAAATTCAACAAGGTCTCAAGGATTCTGAAGTGTCAATATGCCTCCTACACCAAGGTTTGCGATTGGCTAATATCACCCGCAGAGGGACACTGAGCAAATCAGTCCTCCTACTGCCTCTTAGAATTCAAGCTGCTATGCTTAATAAAACAAATACCAAAAATAAATGACCTTTTTCATTGATACCATTTTATAAGTAGTGCAGAGATCCCATGATGTCACAGAATGCAACACTCCAGAATAGTTAAAAATTGTTATAAATATAATGTCATAGATAGTCTTGACGTTAAAGAAAGATAACACTAATGGAATCAATAATTATTAGATCCAACCAACCTAAACATTGAGGAAAATTGTGTTCTCAAAAACAAAATGGTTAAAAAATGCCACAGAAGGGCAATTCTGACTGCTCCTATAAGTTTCATTTCAATAGTTAATGCCTTGCAACTTCTTGCTATGATTCATAGCACAACAGAGATTAAGCTCATTTTTTTTCAGTAGTATATCAATAAGCAAAGTCATCTTTACATTTGTGAAACAGCCAGAATTGCAATTTGTCAGTATGGCAAAAATAGATAAAAAATATACCATACTGGCCATAAAAAAGGATCCATTGGTGGTACGTAACTGAAATTTTACTGATTTCTGGATGAGGAATTCAATAAAGAGGTTTATACTCTGTAATATGAATACCTTTTGTCATAGCTGTATCTAATTTTGGAAAACTTTGTGAAATTACGCAATTTTTAACTCGTAAAAAAAGACAGTAATGACTACAAAACTTAGAAATTTGTTTCATGAAATAAATTATTGGGCAATCCTTGAAACAAATGCTTATTCTAAAGCTTTAAACTCATTTATTTTCAAACTAGACATTGACATGAATAGAAATGCATTTATTGGAATTGATGAAAAGGACTTTCTGGATAGTTGGAATAATCACCCTGCATTTTCCTTTTTTTAAAACAGTAAGTCTCACACTGTACAAGGCCTAGGGCCACTTGAGGGAGAAGGTTATGTTAAAAGACAATTTGTGCAGATAGGATGTTAATCCTAGCCTTGAACAGGTTAAACATCCTCCTGGGAAATGGTTCCACAGAGCAGTGGTTTGCATGAAGAAGCTGTCCAAGTGGAATCTATTCTCACCAATGAAATATGGAGGAAATGTGGGTGGTTTGCTACAATGTAAGTGGCATGGCGTGTCCTTGCCATGAAAGTTTGAACTGGTGGAACCAGGGAATGTAGTTCATCTGAGCACTTTCTGTGGAAGTAGCAATAGAGCAGCAAGAAGCTTACCACATCCCAATTGTGAGAGAAAGTTTGGAGGATGGAGAATAACTTGTCATCCACAAGGACTCAGAAACGCTTTTGGACTTTATCAAAGCTGGAGAGTGAGGTCTGGGCAGATCCCACCCACATACAACAATTATTCA